GAGTTTTTAAAAGTGCTTGTTGTTCAGGACCACAGGCGCGCACCATCCTGATGCAGTCCAGTCTTCCTCAGACTCAGCTGGCCACAATATGGTCAGTATTGTCAGCAATGTTTTCTGTGTGTTTTGTAAACATTATATTTGTGTGCCTTCTTCAACATCTTCTCCAACTTAACTTTGATGAATTCTTTTGAAAGACATCATATATCTTTAGTTGTATTTCACTGTCACAGAAGCCTGATTGAACTAGAACCTCTCAGTAGGGTTGTCAAAAGTATCGAGGCTCAAAAAAAAAGCTTAGATACTAAAACGTTGTATCCGGATACGATACTCATTTTCAAAAGTATCGATACCTCCCCTCACCCCATTTATTTATTTACGTTGTTTATGATCATTAACGTGACATTAGCCTTGAATTGCTAGCTGCGGCTAATGGCTAATAATAACACGCCAACATTAATCAAGTCTGCAGGAAGCCAAGGATGGAGATCCAACTCCCCCACATCCAAGTCGGCCATTTTGATTAGGTCACCAATAGGAAGATCCCAAGCAAGAAAATCCTAATTGCTTCATGGCAATATAGACATTAATTTAAAAATAGTTAAATGAATCTTGCAAACACTGAATTAAACTCTATACATAATATTATGTTCAAATAGTGGATGTTAAATAGGTCTGTACAATAAGTCCAAACAAGTTTAACCAAAAAATATTTATTTCTCACAATTATGAAGGGTGGAAGTTTAGGGTTAGGGTTAAGGGTCATTATTGCGGGCGACCATTGGTTATTTATCAGGGCCGTTTGAAACCAAAGACACTAACCTGTCAAAATTCAGTAAAATTTTGGGGTCTTTTTTTTTTTTATCCTTGTGGTATCCAAAATGGTATCGAGTATTTTCCTGAGTATCGGTATCCAGTTGAACATTTTAGTATGGTGACAACCCTGCCTCTCAGTTTGAATTTGTTATTTTCCCCTAAAGGAGTCTGTCAGACATCGACCAGGACGGAAAGCTGACGGCTGAGGAGTTCATCCTGGCTATGCATCTCATAGATATGGCCATGTCCGGTTTGCCGCTGCCTCCTGTGCTCCCGCCCGATTACATCCCCCCAACTTTCAGGTAAATCCCCTCTTCATTATGTGGAATGTTAGAAAAAATACCCCAAAAAATGCCTTTTATAGATTTGTTACACCAGCAGGAAACAGATGTTACATCAACGTAATGGTTTGGATTTAAGTTCTGATTAGTGTGTTTTGGACCCCAATTACTGAATATTTTGCTTAGGACTCTTGTACTCTTTTACTATATCCATGTATTATTATTATTCTATTATTAAAGCTTCTTTAAATCTAAAATATCCTTGTTCTCCTGAAGTACAGAACTTGATAAGATATGTGCTATATACACTATATTGCCAAAAGTATTTGCTCACCCATCCAAATTATCGGAATCAGGTGTTCCAATCACTTCCATGGCCACAGGTGTATAAATTCAAGCACCTAGGCATGCAGACTGTTTTTACAAACATTTGTGAAAGAATGGGTCGCTCTCAGGAGCTCAGTGAATTCCAGCGTGGAACTGTGATAGGATGCCACCTGTGCAACAAATCCAGTCGTGAAATTTCCTCGCTCCTAAATATTCCACAGTCAACTGTCAGCTGTATTATAAGAAAATGGAAGTGTTTGGGAACGACAGCAACTCAGCCACGAAGTGGTAGGCCACGTAAACTGACGGAGCGGGGTCAGCGGATGCTGACGCGCATAGTGCGAAGAGGTCGCCAACTTTCTGCAGAGTCAATCACTACAGACCTCCAAACTTCATGTGGCCTTCAGATTAGCTCAAGAACAGTGCGCAGAGAGCTTCATGGAATGGGTTTCCATGGTCGAGCAGCTGCATCCAAGCCATACATCACCAAGTGCAAAGCAAAGCGTCGGATGCGGTGGTGTAAAGCACGCCGCCACTGGACTCTAGAGCAGTGGAGACGCGTTCTCTGGAGTGACGAATCGCGCTTCTCCATCTGGCAATCTGATGGACGGGTCTGGGTTTGGCGGTTGCCAGGAGAACGGTACTTGTCTGACTGCATTGTGCCAAGTGTAAAGTTTGGTGGAGGGGGGATTATGGTGTGGGGTTGTTTTTCAGGAGCTGGGCTTGGCCCCTTAGTTCCAGTGAAAGGAACTCTGAATGCTTCAGCATACCAAGACATTTTGGACAATTCCATGCTCCCAACTTTGTGGGAACAGTTTGGAGCTGGCCCCTTCCTCTTCCAACATGACTGTGCACCAGTGCACAAAGCAAGGTCCATAAAGACATGGATGACAGAGTCTGGTGTGGATGAACTTGACTGGCCTGCACAGAGTCCTGACCTCAACCCGATAGAACACCTTTGGGATGAATTAGAGCGGAGACTGAGAGCCAGGCCTTCTCGTCCAACATCAGTGTGCGACCTCACAAATGCGCTTCTGGAAGAATGGTCAAAAATTCCCATAAACACACTCCTAAACCTTGTGGACAGCCTTCCCAGAAGAGTTGAAGCTGTTCTAGCTGCAAAGGGTGGACCGACGTCATATTGAACCCTATGGATTAGGAACGGGATGTCACTTAAGCTCATATGTGAGTCAAGGCAGGTGAGCAAATACTTTTGGCAATATAGTGTATGTGTGTGACAGACTAGACCCAATTTGTGTTTTATCTTTATTTATTTAAATGCTTGATAACCCGGATTTAAGGCAATAAAGTTTAAAAAAAAGTGTGTGTTTTGTTTGTGTAACTGTGTGTGTTTAAGGCGTGTGCGAAGTGACAGCGTCCAGTCGGACCAAAAGAGCGTCCATGAGGAGGTGGAAGAGGAGGCGGAGAGCAACCAGGAGAAGAAACTACCTGGTGATTTTTTAAAAATGTTCTTCCTTTTTGTTGTTTGGTCGGTGCGTTACGTTTGCAGTGAAACAAGGAAGTTTTACAAACCCTGAGTTTTGGTCACGACGGCCTTTTTTAAAGGAGACATATTATACCCTGTTTCAACAAGTTAAGCTACTTCCCTGGTGTCCTAATGTAATGTCTGTGACAAGCTTTGGTCAAAATCCCATAAGGATGAAGCCCAATAGCAGTTCAGTCCCCCTGCCTAACCCTAACCCTAACCCTAACCCAAAACAGCCCCGTTCAGAGCGCTCGCTTTGGAGTGCCTGTCTCTTTAAATGCAAATGAGACACAGCCAATCCACCCACTTCTTCAGGGAGGAGTGCCCACGTCGGCACGCTAACGCTACCATGCTAACGCTACCATGCTGACGCTACCACGCTAACGCTACCACACTAACGCTACCATGCTAACGCTACCATGCTAATGCTACCATGCTAACGCTCACGCTACCACGACGTCTCCACAGATAGGGGAGTGAGCTGAGGGGGGGGCAACATGCAGGTGAAAGGCTGGAATATTATAATGAGCTAGAGCTAATGACGTCAGAAACTACCCACTCCTGAAACCTCCTGATTTATCTGCTGGATTCAGACTGAGGCGGCCCACAAAAACATGACTCAGTCATTTTTTTTCACACTTTGCCTGCTGATAGGCCCTCCACAGTCCCAAATGTACATAATCAAATGATTAAAAACTTGGTTTTGCATAATATGTCCCCTAGTTGAGCTCTGGACTTTTTCTTTCTTTGGAATATTTGCTGCAGGCTGTTGAAAAGCAGGCTGAAAATGATGATTGAATAGCCATGTAAGAGCGAGGGACTCTTGTTTGAATGAGCACAGACACGCGGCACCGCTGGGATTTGAACCCTGGACCTCCTGCCGTCAGAGACTGACCCTTTGACCAAATGCAGTCATTATTTAGCTTTTCCAGTCAAAAAAGTAGACAGACTTAGACTTAGACTTAGACAGTACTTTATTGATCCCTTGGGAAGACTCTCTCAGGAAATTAAGGTTACCAGCAGCTTAAAGGGCAAACAGTGTCAAGTTAGAATCAGTTTAAGCAAAAATATACAAATAAATAAATAAAAATACAAAAAATACAGATTAAGTAGCAAAAGTTGATGTGAAATATGATAGAAGTTCTTGAGAAACGGGCCAAATAACTTGATTTTATTCTCAAAAGATGTGATTAAGCCCACAAAAACATGACTGAGTCTTTTTGTTTTTCACACTTTGCCTGCCGATAGGCCCTCCACAGTCCCAAATGTACACAATCAAATGATTAAATGATTTTTAACCTGCTCTCCGTCCGACCGCAGTCACGTTTGAGGATAAGAAGCGGGAGAACTTTGAGCGAGGGAACCTGGAGCTGGAGAAAAGGCGCCAGGCTCTTCAGGAGCAGCAGAGGAAGGAGCAGGAGAGGCTGGCGGCGCTGGAGAGGGAGGAACAGGAGAGAAAGGTCCTCTTTCCCACATCCTGGGCCCTCCAAATGTCTTCAGAAGTCATACAATTCAACACACCCCCAAGAGTCCAAAGTCCATTTCTGTCTTCTTTCCCAGTTCAGTTTGGTAGCTTTTATGTGTCCCAGTATGGGCAATTTTTGTGTACACATTCACACTTCACATATAAAACATTTTTTGAGCAGAGTTTTTACCATTAAATTATGCAAAAGGTTTCAGACGCAAAACATTTCAGAAACCGTATCAAATATGATAAATTTGGCATTGTAGGGTTAAGATTTAAAATCAAAGTTCAGTTTTAAAAAGTTGCTTTACAGTGTTACAGGAATAATGAGTAGGTTCAGTTCAGTAGCTTTTATTTGTCCCAGTATGGGCAATTTTTGTGTACACATTCACACTTCACATATAAAAAGACAAGAAACATATAAGATATTTTAACCCTTTAAAGCCCAATCCAAGAAAAAAATAGGGAGAACTTTTGTTATTGTTTGAAGTCTTTATTTGACCCTTCACAAAATATATAAGAAAAAACAGAAATTATTTTTTAATATTCGTCATTTATTTCCTTCTGCTAAGTCAAAATGATTGTGCATAGTCTTCTGCCCGCTTTTATAGCTATACCTGATTGTGTACAACAAGGTTTTGAACAAAATTTTACCATGAAATGATGCAAAAGGTCGCAGATGCTAAATTGTTCAGAAATCGTATGTATCAAATATGATACATATGGCATTATAGGGTTAAAAATATAAAAGTAAGGTGGATAAATGAATAAATATGTGCAGTGCAGACATGCAACGTATGACTATCTGCTTTTCCTAGTAGAGTTTAGGGAATAAAGGAGTGTTTATATCTATTGGTCCGAGCTGGTGGATATTTAAAACGGGAACCAGAGGGTAGAAACTGGAATTCACCATGTAAGGGATGGGTGTAAATATCCAAGATGGACTCAGTTTTCCTAATTACATACATACATACATTTCAGTCATGTTTTTCTGTTGGACACCTGTGATTTTACTGCATACCTTAATAATCTTGGATATGGCATTTTTATTCTTTACGTTAAGAAGAGAACAAATAACGGCGGACTGTGAGAAATAACGAGCGGCTTCTTGTGTTTCAGGAGCGCGAACGACTGGAGCAAGAAAGGAGACGACAGCAGGAACTGGAAAAACAACTGGAGAAACAGAGGGAGCTGGAGAGGCAGCGAGAAGAGGAGCGACGCAAGGAGATAGAGAGGAGAGAGGTGAGAGTCAAAAGTATCGATACTCAAAAAAGAGTGGATACTAAAACGTTGTATCCGGGTACGATACTCATTTTCAAAAGTATCGTTACCACCACCCCTTCTCTCCGATTTATTTATTTATTTACGTTGTTTATTATCATTAACGTGACGTTAGCCTTGAATTGCTAGCTGCGGCTAATGGCTAATAACAACACGCCAACATTAATCAAGTCTGCAGGAAGCCAAGGATGGATATCCAACTCCCCCACATCCAAGTCGGCCATTTTGATTAGGTCACCAATAGGAAGATCCCAGGCAAGAAAATCCTAATTGCTTCATGGCAATATAGACATTAATTTAGAAATAGTGAAATGAATCTTGCAAACACTGAATTATACATAATATTATGTTAAAATAGTGGATGTTAAATAGGTTTGTACAATAAGTCCAAACAAGTTTAACCAAAAAATATTTATTTCTCACAATTATGGAGGGTTAGGGTTAGGGTTAGGGTCACTAATGTGGGCCACCATAACATCAGTAACAGGTCAGCTTTAAACCAAAGACACTAACCTGTCAAAACTCTGTTAAATTTTGGGGTCTTTGTTTTTATACTTGTGGTATCGAAAATAGTATTGAGTATCAGAATCGAGTTGAACATTTTAGTATCGTGACAGCCGTACCCTGGATGTGAAATGAAGAGGTGCGATTGGGCAGGAAGTTTAGCTGCCTCAGACCTGTAATTACCTCTGCTGTAGATCATCCTTTTTTTAAATCTCCGCGCTTACAGAAAAGAGCCAAAAACACACCCTAAA